ATGTAATTCAAATTTTAAATTAATATCTCTATTGTCAAACCAGTTGTGGGATGTTTGTGATTGATCTAAGATTCCCTTCCATAACACAAAAATGTCATCAATATAATGCCAGAGTATCTCCTGGCAGACACTTATGTAGATAAGAGCCAGGAATAGCCCAGACAGCTCACTCTGTTTAAGTGTATGTATGGGAACAGAACAAAAAATAATCTGAAAGGTCAGTATGCTTTTTTAATGTCCTTTTAAACAAACAATTTAAATTGTGATTCCTTTGTAAATATGTAGTATAGGTTAATGCTGGTTCAGTTGGCTTAATATTAACAACTAATTATGAACTGCAGTCTGTATGTGCTCTGTGAAATTGTCCTGCTTTATTATTTTTTCTAAAATGTTGTATCAAATATGTCCTTACATTTTCTTTCTGTTATTTCAATAGATTCCCCCGATGAAGTTGCACATGAAACATGTATGCGTTGTACAATTATTAATTTTTTTACTTCCCTCTGCACCAATTTGTTTCTTCACCTTCATTTTACCCTGTTATTATTATTTTACTCTGTTATTATTATTTACCCAAAGGCACCTGCTAGTTTGTGGAGTGCCCCAAGGAGCGGTGCTTTCCCCAATGTTCTTTAACATCTATATGTGTCCCCAGGGGTCATTTCGTAGAAAAAGAGCTAGGGGGACTCATTAGCATAACTCATTAGCATATGCCACAGCCCCTGACATCACCGAAAGTGTGTCCTCCCCACAGCCGGCGGCGACCTCCAGCGGGCACCAGCAGGGAGCTCCAGGCCCCGCCCTCCCGCACCTCACCCAGGGGGATGGCGTCCCCCGCGTCCCCCTCAAATGACCCCTGTGTGTCCCCTTGCCCAGATTGCCTGGAGCCATGGGCTGGGTTGTCACCAATATGTGGATGACATCCAGATCTATCTGTTGTTGGATGGCCAGTCCAACTCTAGTCCAGAAGATATGGACCTGAGCTGAAAGTCGTGGCTGCTTGGCTTAGACTGAGTTGACCGAAATTGAATCTGATGAAGATGGAGGTCCTGTGCCTGAGTTGGAGCGGCCCGGGGGTAGGGATCCCACTCCTGACCTTTGATGGGGCACTGTTGGTGTCAGCACTAGAGGTTAGGAGTTTGGGAGTGCTCCTGGATGCCTCCTTAATAATGGAGGCCTAGTAGCAGCCACTGCAAAGTCAGCCTGTTATCATCTTCGTCTAATCAGGCAGTTGGTTCCCTTCCTCGAACGGAATGACCCGGCAATGGTGATCCATGCAATGGTCACTTTGAGATTGGATTATTGCAATGCTCTCTACATGTGGCTGCCCTTGTCCCAAATCTGGAAGCTGCAGCTGGTGCAGAATGCAGCGGCCAGGCTGCTGTTGGGTCTCCCTATGCGGGAGCACATCCAGCCTGTGCTAAAAGCACTGCACTGGCTGCCTACAGCATACCGAATTTGGTTCAAGGTGCTGGTTCTTACCTTTAAAGCTCTATATAGTCAGGGGCCTACATACCTAAGGGACTGCCTTTCCCCACATGTTCCCCAGAGAGCACTACAATCGGTGTCCCAAAATCGTCTGCCCCTTCCAGGTCCTAGAGAAGCCAGACTGGCTATGATGAGGGCCAGGGCCTTTTCAGTGGCGGCTCTGCACTGGTGGAATGAGCTCCCAGATGACATCAGGGCCATGCGGGACCTCTTACAGTTATGCAGGGCCTGCAAGACGGAGCTATTCCACCAGGTCTTCAAGTAGGGAGCAGCCCTAATAAATTGAGACCCTGGCCCCAAACTAACATCATCATTAACATGTCAATGTTAGATTCAATCTACCATCATTATGAACATGTCAATGTCAGACACTGCTACTGCCCGCCATCGGCCACGAATAGCACTAGCACTTTACACTGTTGTTTTATAATTGTATCGTTGTGGTTTTATGTAACTTTGTGTTTTCGTGTTCTAAAATGTTTTATGTAATACGCCCTGAGCCTGCCTTGGCAGGGAGGGTGGGATACAAGTCAAATAAATAAATAAATGAAGTTGTGTTCATTCCTAACTGGGTTTCTCTTTTAATAAGAAAGTAAAGTATCTGAATGTAAGTAATGGTATTAAAATAATCAATCCTAATTTCCTTATAGCCTATTGAATTATTAGAGAAAGATTTGAAGTTATTGCACTAATAACTTTACATTTTAGATTCAAACAAGTATGAGATCCACAAGGAATTGTGGGGCATATGATTTTCCTCTCCCCCACTATTTATTCTTTCCCTTCCCTGAAATCCCCCATAGCCTTCCCCCTTTTCTTGGTTGCTTCTTTCTTCCCACCCACCAACAAACATACCTTTATCTGCCCCACATCTTCAGCTTTCCCTCCTTCCCTCCCTGGGGCAGTCTCTCCCCAGGAAAATTCTTGTTGAATTGCATAGTGCCAGCCAACAAGCCCAGTTGTGTGGTGCTGGCTGCTAGGGTTAGGCCCAGCTGCACAGTGGGGAAGCTGCAAGGACTTGGGGGGTACCTCTCTTTCCCCTGTATCTCCCTCCTGACACTATTTTATCATTCACTCTTTCTGGCAGACCTCTCCTGTCCCCTTCGCCTCCTTCCTTCTCTTCCCACGCACCAGTCAGCCAACCAGCCTTTTATCTCCTCCCACCCTCAGCTACATTTATTATTCATTTACTTAATTTATACCCCACCTTTTTCCACAGTGGGGAACCAAAGCAGCTTGTATCATTCTCTTCCATTTTACCTTCACAACAACCTGTGAGGTAGGTTAGGGGGGGGGGAGAGAGAGAGAGAGAGAGAGAGAGAGAGAGAGAGAGAGAGAGAGACTGACTCAAAGTTACCCAGCAACAGAGTGGAAATTTGAACATGCGTGTCCCAGATCCTAGTCTGAAACTCCAGCCATTGGCATTCTTTTGGTGGTTGTTGAACAGTAGTGAGCAGCCTGGCCCCAAGGAGTCCTCCTTTAAAGGCCATAATAGCCCTGATAAGGGTTCTGCCTCCTCCACCACCACAATATTGTTGTGGTTGCCTAGCAATAGGTATTGATGTCTCAAAAGGCATCTATTTCTTAAAGTTATAGACCCTGCTTCTATTATTGTGGATTTTTTAAAAGCCTCCAGTATATTTTTTGTTTAGATTTCAGATTTTTGTGTGTGAATCTGAGGCTTTTCCAAGATTTGTCGAAAATCTGTCTGGTCTGTTCATGGCCTCAGTCTCTAGATTCAAGTATCCATAGATGGGGATACATTGAGAATTAGCAATATTGTCTTTTTATCCAAGTCTTCATTCACTGCTGCATTTAGGAAACAGGATAATGTGTGGATTTTGGGTATTTAAATGTTTGATGGGTGGAGACTCTTTCATCATTTCAGAAAACCTTAAGGGTAGCAAAAGTGGTTTTTCCCCCCAAACCAACATGTTGTTGTATTACCGATGCCCAACACCTTGGGCTGATTGATGAATGTGGATGTATAGGTCACATTCAGTCTGATAAAGTGAACCTTACTCGGATAGTGGTATTAAAAAATCCCAACGTTTAGTTGTAGTAAATCCCAATTAAAAATTCAGCCTTAGAATTTAGCAAACATCTGGAACCTGGTCTTTCCATTGGGCTTTCTTGTTGTTGCTTTGCTGCATCAACAGAAAATACCCAATGGCCAAGGTTTTCATTGTGCAGATAGCTCTTTAGCCTAGAGAAATTAGTTCCAGTGCTTGTGGTATGTAGGAATCTCAGGCTAGAGAGAAGATATTGCAAAATGGGAAGTGATAGACCACAGGAAAGGGTGCCATCTTGGTTGTCTATTTTTGTAGCACACTGATTTCCTGGTTGCACAACAGACTTAAAAAAAAAATTCAAATTGAGATCAGACTTCCTGAGGCCTTATGCTTGTTCAGCAGTTCTATTTGCACTCAGTTAATAATATCTTTCCAAGCATTCCTCAGCAATAATTCTGTCTACCATGTGAAATGGACTTGAACTTCAGTCTCCTTGAATCTGACACTGTTGAAAGATGTTTGTATTCTAGGCTTCTTAGACTGTGCATAAGGACTGTCTATTTTATAATATTTATTAAAGCATTCCAGCAGTTCTGCAAAACTATTATGTAGACCATATGCTACAACTTTCCCAGCTTACCAGGGACAGTTCTCCTTTTCTGTTATGTTTCCCTGGTAAATCAGCCCTATTTTTGCATTTTGGGAATCCTGTGTTTAAAAAAATTAGTGTGAGTTGCAAGAGTTAACATCATTCAAAATTCATCTTCCTCCCCACAGTCTTTAGAAGTTAAATCAGCGAGGATACATCTTGCCTTTCATGCAAACGTGTGAACATGCATGCACATGAACATAAGGGCACCATCGTGTACCTAAATGACCATCTCAGATTAATAATTAGGGTTTTCGCTTCTTACCCTAGACACTGGAGGTCTTGCCCCCTTAAATCTACAGCTGAAGTAAAAAACTAGCTGTGGTTCCACATTCTTTCCACATTCCAGCTGCAATCTTACCTGTTGTGTGGCACAGCTGGAGACCTGTTGCCATATCACCTATAGAAGAAAGAGAAGATGATAGGTCTGCAAGGGGAATAGGTAAGATGAGCTGCAGGGGAGACAGGTCTGCTGCTATTTCTTCTGCATCATCTGCAGACTTAAAGAGTAATACTTGGTGTCCAAGACAAGAGGGGGCAACCCAAGCAATCGAAGCCTAAGACATGTGTGTGAATTACTATGCTTACCCTATGAAAGCATTCTGTGTGGTTCCTATGTTATTTAGATGTTTGAAAAAGCCACTCTATGCACATTTTATATAGTACTTTAATTATATATAAATAATCAGTGCATGTCTTCTCTCCAAGATACTTCTTATTGTGTACTGTTGCCTCCAATCCATCCACAGAGATCCCTTCAATTCCAACAAGCATTTCCACTCATTTATATCTCAACAAAATTTTATTCTTGCTTTGTAACAATTATTATTAGATACATTTTGCAAAAGAGTCAAGAGAGAAGATCCCTTACAGTTACTATACTCCCCAGGCCACATTTATTTTATTCGTGATAGCAAAGCACAGTTGTCTCCATCTGTCCTGTTGGCTTTGCAAGTGAAACCACGGCAGTCCTTGTGCTGGGCATGAGGTGAAAGGATAAAGCAAGCAGGTCTTTCTTATGCTGGCTGTATCTGCAGGAGCCATCTCCATGCTCCTATCAGCGAATTCTTACTTGTTCTTTGCCTTCCTTCCATCACATCTAGTTATAACAACCTTTTCTTGTTAGGCTGGAAACAGGAAGAGGAATCTAAGTTATTAAATGAAATGAAGCAGTGAAATAAATACAGTCCATGGCCATTGCTGCCACTTGAGCTTCTCTTTAAAACTTCGCAGAGGCTAGCAGATGTGGCTGAATTTTTCTTTTTAAACAAAATAAGTTTCTAACATGATCATAGACAAAAATTGGAAAAATTAAATAGCAATAGATCCTAAAGGGTTAGAAACAAAACAAAAGAAAACCACCTCCCCGCCAAATGTATAGTTTTAAGACCCCATGATGTGCAAGTCCATGGCATTACCCCTCCCCATTCGTTTAACCTGAGACTGGGGGAGTCAGACTGTCTCACAAGCATTATTCTGAGCATTTTTACAACTAGGGCTGCCAAGCTGCAGGTGAGTCCAGATCTCCCAGAATTACAAATGATCTCCAGACTACAAAGATCAGCTCCTCTGGAAAAATGGCGGCTTTGGAGGGTGGACTGTATGGCATTATGTGCCACCGAGATCCTTCCTCTCCGGCTCCCCCCTTCAACAAATCTCCAGACCCCAAACCAGATTTGGCAACTCTGTTTACAACATTAAAATGTGTAGAATTATGTGGGAAATGTCGTAAGATTATTGCACAAATCATTCCTCATTCAGGGATGGCTCCACAATGAAGACAGAGTAAGCGGCCACCTATAGTGACACAATCCAAAAGAGGCCAATGATTATGAAAGTAATCTGTGTGCAGGCTGCATCAAGTGTGGCCTGTCCTTAAAGTAACAGATAATTTGCCCCAGAGTCCTATAGCAGTGGCCCTGTGCCACACTAAATTCAGGGTCTCCTCCAGGTACCAGTATTGCAGTTCAAGCTGAAAGCAATATGCAGTCTGTGCTCCCATGCTACTTTTATTATTTTCTTTTTTTTTTGGCCCCCCCCGAAGGGGATTTTTAAAATTTGCATTTCTAATAAAACTACAAAACTACAACAAAAAGGGGAGGGGAAACTACAAGCTATGAGAAAAAGAAAAAGAAGGCAGTAAAAGCCCAAGTGTTGAAGGTTCCAAACTACTCAAAGAAAAGATTTGTTACTCTTAACAATTACTTTCAGACATGAGGAGTATCATCAATCATTGCTTCAGTTGTCGAAACCAGCTTCTACTTTTATTATTTTCTGTTCTGGTGAAAACTAAATATGGACCCCAGAATGACCTGTGATGTATGGGATATTCTTAGTTTGGGTAAGCATACCCTTACCTTGTTTTTCCTACACTGATTCAAAACATTGTCTACCGAGCCCCATCCCTGTTGTCTAAGGTTGAAAAGGGCTTGACGCATCCCCCCAAAAAACCTCTACTGACCCCACCTGTACTAGTGATGTCACCTGTGAATGAGAGAAGCTGGTGCTCATTTTCCCTTCTGCTGCCATCCTCCAACCTTCTGTTCTTCTGGCTCCAGGCAATAATCAAGAGGAATATAACAACTAGGCATTTGAAACCCAGGAATCCAGCCACAACGAAGTGCAGATTTATTCCAGCAGTTCCTATGGTGCTTTGGAAAGTAACAAATGCAGGGTAGTGTTAAGCAGATAATTCAGTGTGAAAAGGTATTTTGAAATGAAGATGGGAAATTAGTGTTCAATAGATAGCCCTGGGTTTGCTGCTGCTATTGTATATGCTTACACTCCATTCTAAAAGCTAACAGACTTCGACCTTTTAAAACAGGCTGTTTTTCTACCTAGTATGTATGGGTGCAGTTCCTTTGATTTGATCCTATCTGTTACATACACTGAGGACCTAACAATATGCTTCATAGACCTCTTGTCCTGAGTGTTGGCCCTGGTCTCAGAGACCAGACATTCTTGAGGATTTGTGTGCTTGGAAATTAACTCCTAGATGTGCATGGGCCTGATTCAGATTGGTACCATAGTTGATGGAGAGAGGAAGATATAATCTTTTCCCCAAGCACCATTCTCCTCATCTAAAATTGCCTCAAGGGGCCACTATTAGCCTTGTTGGGGGAATTTTATGTAGGGGCCGCCGCTCCCACCACCACTAACGGTGGAAGTATCATCAAGTTGGATCGCCCTTGATAGCCTGGCGGCAGGGTGAACTACATGGCGGCAAGATCAGCCGATTAGCTTGGATTATTACTGCCGGAATGATACAACTAATGCTGGCAGGGGTTATTTTTTGTAGAAGTTAACTGTTAGAGTCAACTGCAGACCATCTTGGAACTTAAAGAACTTAAAGCACTTTATTATTATTATTATTATTATTAATAGTATGTTATTGATTGTATCTTTGTGATTTTATTGGATTTTAATGAATTTTATGTATGGGCTTAAGCCCCTGTAAGCCGCCCTGAGCCCACTCGCGGGGTAGGGCGGGGTAGAAATACCTGAATAAATAAATAAAATAAAATAATTTACCTGTACTGATTGGCTACAATTAAGTTTCCTTAATGGAGCAAACAGGGATTCCTTGGGGCTATTTCAGACATGCGGGTGACATAGGGTTGCCAAGTCCTACCTTAAGCTGCAGCAGGGGACTCCCGGTTTGCTCTGGGAGTGCCCCCGTGCGCCGCGAGCACGTCACCCGGAAGTGACGTGGCTGCGTCGGGCGTGCCGGGGGCAGGGCTACGGTCATCCGAGGGAAAAACATAGAGTTTTCCCTCGGATGACCGCGGCCCCGCCCCCGGTGCGCCTGGCGTGGCTGCGTCACTTCCGGGTGACGTGCTGACGCCGGGCCTGTCCTGTGCTTTGGGGGTGGGGTTCCCCCCGGGGCCCAATCCACCGGCGGCAAAGAACGGGCCTCTGGGGTGGGGATTTCCCCGCCCCCCGGCTGGTCTTGGCAAGCCTAGGGTGACATGAGGTCTTTGTACAACACATAAACATACATGAAATATGAAAAATAACTGTAGAAATACCAGAACAAGAAAAATGTAGGTTCTCACATATACAATAGTCCCAAAAATCTAGTCTCAAGAAAGAGAGTTGCAGCTCTTCCTTCTTTCACAGTTCATTGTGTTTTGAAAATGTTGCTCTTGTCATGTTATATTTGCTTAACATTATTTGTGGCAAGAATAAAATCCCTTTTGCTACCAAGAGTTTACAGTCCATACTGGAATATGGCAAAGGGTCCAAAATCTCCCTACAGAAACGGTAAATAGGCTGACTCAGGTGGGTAGCTGTGTTGGTCTAAATCAGCAGAACAAAGTTTGAGTCCAGTGGCACCTTTAAGACCAACAAAGTTTTATTCATGGTATACGCTTTCGTGCGCACGCACTTCTTCAGATACATTGAAATGGAAGTTACCAGTCCATACGCATAGTTAAAGTGTGAGCAGCAGATTAGCACACAGCATATTAAAGTTGTTTGATAGATGCAAGGACCAAACTGGAATAACAAGCTTAGTTTATATGGTCACCATTTGTTTGGGTTTAATTCTGAGGGAAACCACAGTGAAGGAAATAAATATATCGAAATCAGAGACTGATGGGCAGATGTACCCTTGTGGAACTGTGGAATGCTGAGAGTATTAATGGAGACCTTGCTGTCACACTCCCATCCACCTCCTCTCAAGCGTGGAGGTAACCTTAGGGCATCCTCGTCTTAGAGGTGGAGCAATTGGCTGTGCAGTGTGTTTTCTCTGTCCCCAGAACAGAGAAATCTATTCTAACCTACCATTCCAAATTATATTATATTCTACTATTTATTACTGTTCATAACATTACAATCTTGTATTCCAAATAAGAATTAGGCTGGTCTGTGATCCATACTTGAATGTCAGAATGGATTGCTGCCAAATCCTTACAAAGTCGAACCCTTCCCCCATCCATGTTTTTTACTCTGATTTTTTTTAAGCTGTTGTTCTCCTAGTGGAGGTCTGTGACCAGAAATAATTTCTGCCAAGGGTCTAGGGTTGCCAGCTCTGGGTTGGGAAATTCCTGGAGATTCCTGGGGAAAGGTGGGGTTTGTGGAGGCGAGGGACCTCAAGTGAGGTATAAATAGCAGAGTCCACCCTCCAAAGCAGTCGTTTTCTCCAGGGAAATGGATCTCTGTTATCTGGAGATCAGTTGGAATTCCTGGAGTTCCTGAGGCCCCACCTGGAGGTTTGCAGCCCTTAGGGCCCCGGGACAAAAACCACAGGCATAGGGTGAATTCATATATAACCTTCTGTACCACCCACATTTCCTGGGGAAAGGTGGGGTTTGTGGAGGCGAGGGACCTCAAGTGAGGTATAAATAGCAGAGTCCACCCTCCAAAGCAGTCGTTTTCTCCAGGGAAATGGATCTCTGTTATCTGGAGATCAGTTGGAATTCCTGGAGTTCCTGAGGCCCCACCTGGAGGTTTGCAGCCCTTAGGGCCCCGGGACAAAAACCACAGGCATAGGGTGAATTCATATATAACCTTCTGTGCCACCCACATTCTTTTGCTTTATAAGGATTTAGCAATATCTGGTTTGTGTTGTGCTGCTATCCTGTATGTTTGTACACCTGGCAATGCACATTTAAGTTGTATTACCCTACAAAATGGCATAGCTCGAGAACCCTAGTGGGGCAATCTATTAAATCCTATTGTAGCAGTTAGACTTGTACCCACTCACTGTGATTTGATAATTTCTGTCAGAACAATCTTGCATATATCCCTGGTGAAATGCTGCCGTTAAGAAGAACAGAAGCTGAGATGAAAGTCTCTACGGAGGTATCAAATTCAATAGGACCCAGAATTCATTTCCCCCCCTTCTGCAGCACAGAAAAGGATAATGCTCAGGGTAACTCTGGGATGGGAATTTATAAGTTTCTCAGAATGTGGCCAGAAATTTATTTTCAGTAGTTAGAAGTACCCAAATACCTCCAGTCTGCTCCAATCTAGTCATGTGGGTTTTTTCATAGTTCCTCTTCAGAGAGGCAGTGACAGAACTGTCACAGGCTTAGCATGGTGTGGCATGTAGTCTGCTTTCTTGGCTTCTATAGTGTGCATGCATGTGTCATGGTCAAAAATTAACTTGTGAAAACTGAGACTGTATTAGTCACAAACTTAACTATAGAAAAGAGCAAGAGTCCAGTAGTACCTTAAAGACTAACAAAATTTGTGGCAGGGTATTTGTACAAATAGAGAATTATTTGTACAAATAGAGAATTATTTGTACAAATAGAGAATTATTTGTACAAATAGAGAATTATTTGTACAAATAGAGAATTATTTGTACAAATAGAGAATTATTTGTACAAATAGAGAATTATTTGTACAAATAGAGAATTATTTGTACAAATAGAGAATTATTTGTACAAATAGAGAATTATTTGTACAAATAGAGAATTATTTGTACAAATAGAGAATTATTTGTACAAATAGAGAATTATTTGTACAAATAGAGAATTATTTGTACAAATAGAGAATTATTTGTACAAATAGAGAATTATTTGTACAAATAGAGAATTATTTGTACAAATAGAGAATTATTTGTACAAATAGAGAATTATTTGTACAAATAGAGAATTATTTGTACAAATAGAGAATTATTTGTACAAATAGAGAATTATTTGTACAAATAGAGAATTATTTGTACAAATAGAGAATTATTTGTACAAATAGAGAATTATTTGTACAAATAGAGAATTATTTGTACAAATAGAGAATTATTTGTACAAATAGAGAATTATTTGTACAAATAGAGAAATTGGCCAAAAAGACTCACACAACCTCTTTTAACTTTAAAAGGGGTAATTTCTCTGATATGAGGGGACACGTGGGGAGGAAACTGAAAGGAAAAGTAGAAAGGGTCAAAACAATTGGGGAAGCTTGGAAACTATTTAAAACTACGATCCTAGAAGCTCAAAAAATATATATTCCGCAGGTTAGGAAAGGCACAAACAGGTATAGGAAAAAGCCTGCATGGTTAACAAACAGAGTAATGGAGGCTGTAAAAAGTAAAAAGAATTCCTTTAAGCAGTGGAAAGCTAGTCACAGTGAGGCTGATAAAACGGAACACAGGCTATGGCAAATAAAATGCAAGTCTGAGGTCAGGCAGGCAAAAAGGGAATATGAGGAGCATATAGCAAAAAACGTAAAAACCAACAATAAAACTTTCTTCAAATACATTAGAAACAGGAAACCAGCCAGGGAGGCAGTGGGGCCCTTGGACGACCAAGGGGTAAAAGGAGTATTGAAGGATGATAGGGAAATGGCTGAGAAGCTAAATGCATTTTTTGCCTCCGTCTTCACTGTGGAAGATGAGAAGTGCTTGCCCACTCCAGAACCACTGATTTCAGGAGGGGTGTTGGAAGACCTGAGTCAGATTGAGGTGATGAGAGAGGAGGTCCTAAAACTGATAGACAACTTAAAAACTGAAAAATCACCAGGCCCAGATGGCATACATCCGAGAGTTCTGAAAGAACTCAAATGTGAACTTGTAGATCTCCTGACAAAGATATGTAATCTTTCCTTAAAATCTGCCTCCATTCCTGAGGATTGGAAGGTAGCTAATGTCACTCCCATCTTTAAAAAGGGTTCCAGAGGAGATCCGGGAAATTACAGGCCAGTCAGTCTGACGTCGATACCGGGTAAATTGGTGGAAACCATTATTAAGGAAAGAATTAGTAGGCACATAGATGAACAAAACCTATTGAGGCAGACTCAGCACGGTTTCTGTAAGGGAAGATCTTGTCTCACTAACCTGTTAGTGTTCTTTGAGGGGGTGAACAAACATGTGGACAAGGGGGATCCAATAGATATTATTTACCTTGACTTCCAGAAAGCTTTTGATAAAGTTCCTCATCAAAGGCTCCTAAGTAAGCTCAAAAATCATGGGATAGAAGGACAAGTCCTTTTATGGATCAAAAACTGGCTAGTTCATAGAAAACAGAGAGTGAGTGTAGGTGGGCAATTTTCTCAGTGGAGGGTGGTAAGCAGTGGGGTACCGCAGGGATCAGTACTTGGTCCACTGCTTTTTAACTTGTTCATTAATGATTTGGAGATGGGAGTAAGCAGTGAAGTGGCTAAATTTGCGGATGATACAAAGTTGTTCAGGGTGGTGAAAACCAGTGAGGATTGTGAGGCACTCCAAGGGGATCTGTCAAGGATGGGCGAGTGGGCGTCAACATGGCAAATGGGGTTCAATGTGGCCAAGTGCAAGGTGATGCACATTGGAGCCAAAAATCCTAAATATAAATACACATTGATGGGGTCTGAACTGGCAGAGACTGAGCAAGAGAGAGATCTTGGAGTTGTAGTGGATAACTCACTGAAAATGTCGAGACAGTGTGTGACTGCAATAAAGAAGGCCAATGCTATGCTGGGGATTATTAGGAAGGGTATTGAAAACAGATCAGCCAATATAATAATGCCCCTATATAAATCAATGGTGAGACCTCATTTGGAATACTGTGTGCAGTTCTGGTCACCACACCTTAAAAAGGATATTATAGCTTTGGAAAAAGTGCAGAAAAGGGCAACTCGAATGATAAAAGGGTTGGAACACTTTCCCTATGAGGAAAGGTTAAAGCGCTTAGGGCTCTTTAGCTTGGAGAAAAGACGACTGAGGGGTGACATGATCGAGGTTTATAAGATTATGCATGGGAAAGAGCAGGTAAAGAAAGAGGTACTTTTCTCCCTTTCTCACAATACAAGAACTCGTGGGCACTCCATGAAATTGCTGAGCGGTCGGGTTAGAATGGATAAAAGGAAGTACTTCTTCACCCAAAGAGTGATTAACACTTGGAATTCACTGCCACAGGAAGTGGTGGGTGCTACAAGCATGGATGGCTTCAAAAGGGAATTAGATAAGCATATGGAGCAGAGGTCCATCAGTGGCTATTAGCCACAAGGTATAGCTAGGGGCTCTGGGGCAAGTGATGCTCTGTCTTCTTGGTGCTTGGGGGGGTCAACAGTGGGAGGGCTTCTAATGTCCTGGCCCCACTGCTGGACCTCCTGATGGCACTGGTATTTCTGGCCACTGTGTGACACAGAGTGTTGGACTGGATGGGCCTTTGGCCTGATCCAACATTGGCGTCTCTTATGTTCTTATGTTCTTATGAGCTTTCATGAGTCACAATGAGCAGTGACTCATGAAAGCTCATACCTAGGGTTGCCAGGTCTGGGTTGGAAAATATCTGGAGACTTTGGGGGTAGATCCAGGAGAGGGCGGAGTTTGGGGAGGGGAGAGGCCTCAGCATGGTACAATGCCATAGAGTCCACCTTTCAAAGCAGCCATTTTCTCCAGGGGAGCTTATCTCTGTCAGCTTGAGATCCAGGGCTTTTTTTGTAGAAAAAGCCCAGCAGGAACTTATTAGCATAATTGGCCACACCCAACAGCAGAAACATATTAGCATATTAGGCCACACCCCTGACAGCACAGCTCATTAGCCTATGAGGCCACACACCTGTGTTATCAGAAGTGTGTTCATCCAGCCACACCCACCTTTTGCTTCTTATTCTGTTTACCTTGTTTGTTGTCAAAACCCAGGGATTTTTTTGTAGCAGGAACTCCTTTGCATGTTAGGCCACACACCCCTAATGTAGCCAATCCTAATGAGTTCCTGCTGTTGGGTGTGGCCTATTATGTCAATGAGTTCCTGCTGGGCGTGGCCAACTCAGGAGCCAGCCAGAACTCTGTTCCTGTGCGTTCCTGCCCAAAAAATAGCCCTGTTGAGATCACTTGTAAAAGCGGGAGATCCCCAGGCCCCACCTGGAGGCTGGCAACCCGACTCATACTCTGCCACAAATGTTGTTAGCCTTTAAGGTGCTACTGGACTCCTGCTCTTTTCTACTGCAATAGACAGACTAACATGGCAACAGCTCAGTGGTAAAAAATATGCTTTGCATGAAGAAGATCCCAGGTTCAATCCACAGCAGCTCCAGTGAAAATGATCAGGTACTAAGAGATGCAAAAGACCTCTATGTGAAACCCTGAAGAGCTGCTGTCAGTCAGAGTAAGCAATACTGACCTCTGTGTGCAATAGGATCCTGGACAACATGGACCATTTCTTTGATCCAGCTGAGCTATTCTAATGTTCTTATGTACCTGCCTTTTACTGGGACAACTTTCATACTTTTGATTATGTATAAACCTGTTGTCTGGGCATGCTACAAATTATTCCCAGCTTTCAGCTCTTAAACTACAAATATGTAGAATGAATATCAACCTCTGTGCTGGACATTAAATTCTAGCCTTGTTCATGAACTTCTTAGCATCTCAGTCCCATACACAGGATGACTTCACATTTTGATAGTACACTTGTCAAGTGACCCTGTCTTCTGGGACAGAATGTGAGAACATTAGCAGTGTCTCATATACCTGTTAGCTACTGATGAAACTGAGCCACAGTATTGGGAATTTGTTTCCTATGATGGTTCCTCTGGTAGCAGGGCTCTGGAGATGGACAGAGTGCAAGAAGGATAGAGTGTGATTTGTATAACACTCTAACAGTAGCAATCCTAAGCAGAGTCACATCCCTCTAAGTTAATTGAAGGGGATAACTCTGCTTACAATTGCACTGTTAGGCCATGGATAAGCACCATTATCATTGGTTAGGCTTCCACAGCTATCAACTTTTATCATAAGCATTATTTTTAATGATTTGCTATGAGCATGCCCCAACCTTGTCATAAGAACATAAGAGAAGCCAATGTTGGATCAGGCCAATGGCCCATCTAGTCCAACCCTCTGTCACACAGTGGCCAGAAATACCAGGTGCCATCAGGAGGTCCATCAGTGGGGCCAGGACACGAAGCCCTCCCACTGTTGCCCCCCCCCAAACACCAAGAATACAGTGCATCACCTGCCCCAGCCTGTGAGTTCCTATCTATACCTTCTGGCTAATAGCCATTGATGGACCTCTGATCCATATGTTTATCCAGTTCCCTCTTGAAGCCGTCCATGCTTGTATCCGCCACCCCTTCCTGTGGCAGTGAATTCCATGTGTTAATCACTCTTTGGGTGAAGAAGGACTTCCTTTTATCCATTCTAACCCAACTGCTCAGCAATTTCATTGAGTGCCCACGAGTTCTTGTATTGTGAGAAAGGGAGAAAAGTACTTCTTTCTCTACCTGCTCTATCCCATGTATAATTTTGTAAACCTCGATCATGTCACCCCTCTGCCGTCGTTTCTCCAAACTAAAGAGCCACAAGTGCTTCAACCTTTCTTCATAGGGAAAGTGTTCCAACCCTTTTATCATTCTAGTTGCCCTTTTCTGCACTTTTCCCAATGCTATAATATTATTTTTAAGGTGTGGTGACCAGAACTGTACACAGTACTCCAAATGAGGACATACCATCAATTTATACAGGGCATTATGATACTAGCTGATTTGTTTTCAATTCCCTTCCTAATAATCCCCAGCATAGCGTTGGCCTTTTTTATTGCAGTCACACACTGTCTTGACATTTTCATTGAGTTATCTACTACGACTCCAAGATCTCTTTCTTGGTCAGTCTCTGTCAGTTCAGACGCCATCAACGTGTATTTATAGTTAGGATTTTTTGCTCCAATGTGCATCACTTTGCACTTTGCTACATTGAACCCCATTTTCCCCATTGATGCCCACTCGCCCGTCCTTGACAATCCTCCCTGGTTGTCACCACCATGAACAACTTCATGTCATCTGCAAATTTAACCACTTCACTTGTTGTTGTTCAGTCGCACAGTCAAGTCCGACTCTTTGCGACCCCATGGACCAGATCACGCCAGGCCTTCCTGTCTTCCGCCGTCCTCTGAAGTTGGCTCAATTTCATGTTCGTTGCATCTATGACACTGTTTAACCATCTCATCCTTTGCCGTCCCCGTCTTCTTTGACCTTCACTGCTTACTCCCAACTCCAAATAATTAATAAACAAGTTAAAAAGCGTCAGACCGAGTACTGATCCCTGTGGTACCCCACTGCTTACCACCCTCCACTGAGAAAATTGCCCATTTATACTCACTCTCTGTTTCCTATTAATCAGCCAGTTTTTGATCCACAAAAGGACTTTTGGATCCTGTATACAAATACAACATCTGGATGCTGTATTTTTTTTTTAGTGTGGTGAGAGCTGGCAAACTTTGTGTTTTCTACCTGTTGTGTTCTGTCCAGGTTGCAATAGGAACACGGTTAATTCTTGCTGATAGGCCAGAGTTCCTGAGTACATCCCACAGGCACTGGTGCAAAGAACTGGCTGAAAATGAATGTATGGTTTTACCTGGAGATGCTGTATACTGCTCTGGGCTCCTCTGGTGCCTCAGTCTTCCATGTGCCTGCTGGCAGAAACACTGCACTTTAGTGGCCAAAAACTATTACACTGAGACATTGTAAGAAATAGTCCATTATCACGACTAATAACAGAAAGATGGAGGGAAATGTGACATTGGGATTGTCACTGATCTGTAGCCTGAAGTTTATAATTTTTGTGGAAATAGGAATGACTATCCAAGAAGGAAAAACATACTTGCTCAACTTTTTATGTCTTATCATATGCACAAAGTGTTCCTGATAATTTCTGCCTGTCACTATGTCTCTGTCCAACAGTGCTATGGTTTTAGTTGCAGTAGTTAGTAAGAAGAATGCTCTCTTTTTTTGGTTTTTCTTTTTGTGTGTGTGTGCTTGTGAGACTGGAAGTCATGGTGACTTCTGGTGACCCCTAGTTGAACTAGGATGTTTCAGAGAGCTGGCTTGCGATTGTCTGCCTCTGCGTCCCAGCCCTGGTGTTCCTTGGAGGTCTCCCTTCCAAGTACTTGCCAGGGTCGGCCCTGCTTAGCTTCCAAGACCTGATGAGATTGGGCTTGCCTGGGCTATCCAGGCCAGGGAATAAGAACGATGCTCTTGAAGTGTATTGTAGCACAAATCCGGGTATTTAAAAGGCAGCGCTCAGGCAAAACACTAGAGACTTACCTCGCAGAACCTTCAGCTTCACCTTGCACAGGGTACTCATGCTCCCCAAGAAGTCTGCCTTATACTGATACAATCCGGCATCCTCCTTCTTCAGTGGGTTGATGGTCACTGTGAGGATCCCATTCTGGATGTTATCAGCGATGGAAGTGGTGCCATTCCTCCTCTTGAGGAATGGCATCCAGAAACGCCGGGCACTGACAACATGCTGGCACACTGTCTTGCTGATGTGTCTGCACCAACTCTTTTCTCTCCACTGATTCTCCTTGGGATTGTAGGTGCAGTTGATAGAGACTGACTCCCCTTCAATCCCATACACGACTGCAACATTATTTGCTGCATAGGCATCTAGGAAGTAGAGAACAGTTGCATTACAAAATGAAGGAATGGAACACAGGTGACCGGAGTATAGTACTGGAAGGACTTACTAGCTCCCAGGACTTATTAACATCTAGGGATCCTTATAAACTGTTGGTTGCTTTTAGAGATTAGGTTTAAATTTTTTAAAAATAGGGGTTAATTAGGTCTAGTTAGGAAGCTTTCCCCACCTCTTGTACTAATTGGATATTTTTCTTACTTAGTGATAGGGAGGGAAGTAAGAAAGGAGGTTGGGTGGGAGGGAGATTGATGCTGGGAAGTAATTTTAAACTGCCTAATTGAATGTGGATGCAGATATATTAGACCTTGATTGTACTGAAATTATTAGAACCATAACTCTGTTGTACTGTGGATTGTTGTAGTGGGTGGGGGCAGAGGAGGGAACAGGTGGATGGACTGGGATGACATCTTGCAGGGTGCCAGCACTGGGCTAGGGATCCCAGTGATTGGGGGAAGGGAGGTATGGCGGTGGGAGAAGGTCTTGGAATGGAAGAAGATGAGATATGAGCATGCTCGATCTTCTTCCAACTTTTTTTTTGTTTCCTTCCAACTTTTGACTCATCTCAAGACACACCGGTGTGAAGGCTAGGATTATGAACCCCTCTTTGACACTGATGCTGTGCAATGCCAGGTTCATTAACAATAAGACCAGAATGCCGCATGATTATCTTGCAGCACAGAACATGGACCTGGCTTGCTTGACCAAGACCTGGGTTAAAGAGGCCAAGACAGTTGCCCTGCAAGAACTTTCTCCCCCAGGGGTCTTGGTCCTCCATCAGTCCCAGGGGTGGGGTTGCAATACTCATCTGGGAGGGTTTCTCCTTCAAACCACTTCCCGTCCCAAAGATCACTGGTATTGATTGTGTTGATCTAGTGTGGGACACTGAGGAGAGCTTGGCTGTATGTCTGGTGTACTTTTCTTCTAGTGCACCAGCCAACAGCCCGCTGAGCCTGTTGGACATGGTAGCCATATGGGCCTTGGCTGTTTTTGGGGAATTTCAGCATCCATGCTGATGAGGTTGCCACTTCCAGCCAGGCTTCAGACCTGGTGTCCTTCATGGCAGCACTGGGGCTCCCCCAATTTGTATTGGGTCCCACACATCAAGCGGGCCACACACTGGATTTGATCTTTGGCATGGGGATGGACATAGATCTGACAGCGAAGGAAGAAGCGCCATGGTCAGATCATTTGGTTTTGAAGGCCCTGTCTAGGTGATAGCCAATTTATGCTCGCCCATGGAGGCTAATGGACCCAATTGGGTTCCAGAATGCTCTGCAGGATCCGATGTCTTCTGATGACTCATTGGATGAACTGATAGAAGACTGGTTTTCTCATCTCTCTAAAGCCATCGATGCAGTCGCTTCCCAGCATCCTCTTTATTCTTGTCAAAAACCATCTCCCTGGTATACTACGGAACTCAGGGGGATGAAACGAGAACGTAGACAATTTGAGCGAGTTTGGCGGCGTGTTTGTGATGAAGCCTCAAGAACAGCTTATAGGATGTTTATGAAAGCCTATGAGGTGGTGGTGAAGGCTGCAAAGAGGGAATTCTAGCCTCCATAGCGTCCACTAGCTCACGCCCAGCACAATTGTTTAGGGTAATTAGATCTCTGGCAACCCTCTCAGAGAGGAATCAAAGGTTAGGAATTTGGCTGTTAGCTGTGAGGCATTTGTGAACCTCTTTGCAGATAAAATCTTGTCACTCTGCCGTGACCTACCCACCAATGTTGATACAGTATGTGAACTGTGTTGGAAATGTGTGACTTGCAAGGTCTAGATTCCAGTCATTATAGGGTTAATCTGTTTTACCTTCTGTGCTATTGTTTAGACTGACCTGGAAGGAAACCTGGCACAGAGCCAATGTAAACAAGACCTGCGAAACTGAGTAACATTGATTGGGTAATGCAATCAGGTGACTTCCTTCTAGGGGTCAAGAAGAAGGGGAATCTCCATTGTTGTGTGACTATGTGTTCTGTGCTGTAAGGATGTAAAGATGTAGGTCTAGATATCTCTTTTGTTTTGTAGCTTTCCATGTGAACCCTTCCCTTAGAAAGCTTTTTTCATAGAAAGAAATGTCTCCTCTCCAGTGAAGCAAAGATCCATTGCAAACTCTGAGTATTTAAGTATTTTTGCCTATACTGGAGGCCCCTTGGCTGTCTTCAGATTCAGTTTTTGAGAACTTCAGCCTGCTCTTCTCTGCTGATGTCAATAGGATCTTGGGTGCCGTTAGGCCAACCACTTGCCTCTTGGATCAATGTCCCTCATGGCTGGTGAAAGCTGGTGGTGAGAGGGTACGGGGCCTACTGATGGACATTGTCAATCTGTCCCTGGAGACAGGGGTCTATCCAGAGGGTCTGAAAGAGGTGGTGGTAGTACCGCTATTGAAAAAACCATCTCTGGATCCTACTGATCCAGCCAATTACTGCCCAGTTTCAAATTTGTCGTTTCTGGGTAAGGTGATTGAGAGAGCGGTAGCCTAGCAGCTCCAAAGTTTTCTGGATGACACATCAGCATTGGCTCCATTCCAGTCCGATTTCCACCCTGGCCATGGGACAGAGATGGTGTTGGATGCCCTGACAGATGATCTCTGTGCTGTGGCAGTTACACTGGCTTCCAGTGCAGCACCGAGTCAGATTCAAGGTGTTGGTATTGACCTTTAAGGCCTTGAGAGGTCTGGGACCAGCATATCTCTGGGACCGTCTCCTCTGGTATGTCCCCGGGAGAGCATTGCACTCTGCTGAGAAATCTGCTGGTGATCTCTGGCCCCAAAGATATTCGGCTATCCTCAACCTGAGCCAGGGCTTTTTTGACCCTGGCTCCAACCTGGTGGAACTCTCTGCCAACCTCCATCAGGGCCCTGTGGGACTTAATGCAATTCCACAGAGCCTGCAAGGTAGAGATGTTCCACCAGGCTTTTGGTTGAGGACAGCCACGGTTTTCCATCACAGCTGGCACCCTCCTCTTTACTCCTGCTCTTCCAGCTTTGGCCTCCTCCAATAACCTGCCCATGAGATGGAAGAACAGTCTAGAAGGGGTTTTTAAGTTAAATTATAGATGCCATCTGGAGATTGTGAAATTAAGATAAACTGTTTGTTGATTTTAATTGGTATTTTTGTATGTTTTAATCTGTTGTAAACCGCCCAGAGCCCTGTGTAAGGGATTGGGCAATTTAGAAATAACAACAACAACAACAACAACAATATAATCTGTTGCTTGTATGATCCACATGTCCCTCAAAATGTCTTGCATAGTTTATATACACACATTGGGAGATTATACTTTACATGCAGGGTGTAGATCCAAGCCAAGTAATTTGCATATGAATTGTTCTTTTGAGAGTTCAGCTTGTATCAGACCTGAATCCCCCAGAATCTCATTGGATAGAGTGGAGGACCAATCAGCTGCATCACAGGCATTATTGACGGAATTGGCAGACAGAGGTTTAGATTAGAATTTACCTTGATCATGTATATTACCTGTGTTGAGGCTGGGTAGGAACAGCTTGAGCTTCAAACTGATTGCTAAGAAGTGAAGGGAGGTGCACTGGTGTGAACACGGCTTTAATAAATACCACAGGAGGGGTGAGAGACAAAGCAACCTGAAACAATTGCTTCAGGCTGCAGATTCCAGAGAGGCATCCATTTTCCTGCCTCCAGTTAGCCTAGCACCAGGTACAAAACTGTCTAAAGTCAAGCCAGGAATGGGCTATGCAGTCATACAGAAGAAGAGGAAGAAGAGGAGGAAGAGATTGGATTTATACCCCCTCCTTCACTCGGAGTCTCAGAGCGGCTTACAAACTCCTTTCCCTTCCCCTCCCCACAACAGATGCCCTGTGAGGTAGGTAGGGCTGAGAGAGTTCTCTCGAGAACTGCCCTTGAGAGAACAGCTCTGACAGAACTATGGCTTGCCCAAGGTCATCCAGCAGCTGCAGGTGGAGGAGTGGGGAGTCAAACCCGGTTCTCCCAGATTAGAGTCCATGCACTTAACCACTACACCAAACAAGAAAAACAAGGTGCCAATTTCATACCTCTCCGCTGAGGAATAAAGTGGCCAGAGCAAAGGATAGGGAGCCCATTCTCACAGGCTCAAGCTGATTTTTTCTTTTTACGGGAAAGCTACAGATAACTGTGTGGCCATGTCTAGTAGGGTTTAGAATAGTCCTCTGTCTTTTACTTTCTGGAGCAGGAAAAAGAATACCTTGTCCAGCAATCTAACATTAATCACACTCCCGTCCTACAGAATACTTTCCAAAACTTTCTAACCAATTCTACTGACATTTTGATATATTACATATCCTGCTCCTGATCTGACCTGCCACGGAGGCTCAGAAAACAGGAGCTGAGCTTAGGCAAAATCTGAATCCTTCATAGTTATATATATGGATATTGCAATTTCACTAAAGATGTATGCTGTTCTCTGTTCTCAAGGCTTCCTTCCTATCTAAAGCCCATACTGTAGATCTGTTGACTATGAACAACAGCAAGGGTTATGCCATCAATAAAGGGCTTTCTCATCCAGAGTATCTCCTCTTCTGTCCTCCCAAGATAACCTCATCTCAGCTCTTTCTGGGACAAGAAGTTAAGATGAGAAGATACTTTGGGTTGGTTTGTTCAGCACTTGATGACTCAGGAACAAACCTGACTTTACAGTAGCATGATCCAACTCAGTGTGCTGAATTCATATAAGCAGGGTGCTGGGGGGCATTTAATGCACTGTATTAGTGGGCTAGCAGCCTGACTAGCCCCGACTAGCACTCCCTTGTCAGAGTTTAGAAACTAAGCAGGGACTGGCCACAGTTAGTACTTGGATGAAAGACCTCCAATAAAACTAGGATTGCTACACAGAGGAAGGCAATGGCAAACCACCTCTGCTCATCTCTTGTCTTGAAAACCCCATGGTCCTGGAGTCACCATGATTTGGTTGCAACTTGACCACACACTAATTATTAGATGTGCAGGAAGGGCAGTTTGACATTCCCTCTACCATCCATGGCCTTTCCCTTGAAACTGTTTCTCTCTGACATTTTTCTCCTGTCATGGTTCATTTTGATCTTGGATACATACAGGCAGAAAAAACAGCTGTGCCCAGCCTGAGGGAGGAGAACAGGCAGGGGGAACAGTTCCATTGATACTACACTTTAGATAGCCTCTGACCAGTGTTCCCTCTAAGCAGAGTTAGTGTGAGCTAGCTCACAGTTTTTAGCCTCCAACTAACAGATTTTTGTCTTCCGCCAGGAAGGATGGCTCCAGAGCAAACTAATTTATGCAGTAGCCAAATCGCTCACTCACAACTTTAATGCCAGTAGCTCACAAGGCAGAATTTTTGCTCACAAAACTCCACAGCTTAGAGGGAGCATTGCCTCCGACCCTCCCTCTGTTATATATAGATATAGTGGAAACCCAACTCTTAATAACTGGCTTGGAAGTCAGCAGCATATTGGGTTGTTTGCCTGAAAATATTGTATTTGAATGGATGTATTTAATCTGTGGTGGCTCATTCAACCGTGCAAGTCATTACCTGATGTATGCATGAACTGGCACAGAGAAAAGTCCAGCAGATGACTGCTTCTGCAGGATCTGAGATTTCATAGCCTTACATCTTGTGTACAGAAATATAGAATGCTAGGACTGTACAGCTGGAATGGATTTGGTGGTCATTTACTCAATCCCCTATGTTGAGACATAATTCCCCGTGCACAATATCACTAGCAAGTTATCCTGTTTCATGGCATGCAGTTTACATGGTGCCACAAGCACACTGCAGAAATAAGCAAGATGTACCACACCAGAAGTGCTTGGAAAGGTAAGAAATAAGCTTGGAAAAAACCTTTAAATCCAGATGGCTATGCTTGGACAGGATCAGCTGTCTCCTGTCCTCAGAATCATGCATATAGGTCAGTCCAGTCATTACCTGACCCATTCATACTGTATATGGCACCATAATCTATTCTAAACATCTGAAGTTCCCAGTCATCCAACCCAAAGGGGCTTTAATTTCTTACCTGACAAGGACACTAAGATGACAAGATGTATAAACCTCTCCATCTGGCTCTGGCACATAAAAAATATTTCCAATGAAAAAGAAAAAGCTGGTCTTGCACAAGGACAGAACTTTTGCCTTACTGTGCATAAAGGAATCACAACAGGAACTTCTGCTGCTCTCTGTCTTGGGTTAAGCAACACACCAGTGAAAAGTCTCACGCTGGCTGAAAAAGTGGACATCAGCAGTGACATGTTTCACAAGCCTGTGTCTAACCCATGAAGGGGGAGGGAAACGGCTACATCAGAAATGGAAATAGTGAAATTAGGCACTGCATCAAGCATCACCTCTGCACCCCAGACTAGTCCTATTAACTCAAGCTACCCGTGCCTCCAGATTCCGAAAGGTCTTTCATAGGCTATACAAATGAAACATATGGTGTATGCCATATTTAACATACTTGGCCCACTTATTGGACACACGGTGTGAACACTTGGACAGGAGGAACAGACTATGTTGCAAATACACCATTTCTCACATCACAGGGAGTTGATATGACTACATCCCAGTATATTTCAGCTAATTCTGTATTGGAGAGCAAGTTAGTGTCTAAGCAGTGAACCCCAAAATGCTGAGATGTTGAATGGAATTTCATGTATGAGATCCTGACATCTAGCAGTTCTTAAAAAAAAGAAAGAAAAGAGTAAGGCACAAACATGCTCTGTATCTTTTTTTTGCTATCATTAAAATTGAGAACAAAACTTAGCTATGTATAAGCCAGCCCATCATACATATTCAGGAGGGCATTTTTATCCAGGTAATAGGGCTATAAGAATGGTTCAGAAAGGGATCGGGACTGTGGACTGGACTACTATGTACACTGCATACTATCTGTTGCTATATAATTTAACATGTCTTACTTACGCTTTATTTCAGCCATGTTTCAGATTTCTGCAATCCTAATCCTATTACATTGCTTAGTGGGTGTCCCAGCCTGTTGATTGTATTGATTTACACAGTGTAATCTGCCTTAAATCTCAGTTTTTTGTTATACCTGGAACAGGGAAGCAGAGGGTTCCATGTAGGAAACCCTAACATGAAGCAATTTCTCACTTTATGTGAGATTGGTTAACCATAGTAACAGGAGGAACAATCCTAACCAGTCCAAAGTTATTCAATGGGACTAGCTCCAAGGAAAGTGTCCATTGGATTTCAGGCTGTGTTAAGTAAGCACACAGAATGAATGCAGCTTGTGTCTATAACACCAGTTCAGTGGTTTCTTTCCCTTTAAAAATCCCATCACACCTTTGGCTCATGCTCCATGCCATCTTGCATCCCTATATCCTTGGCAACAACTATTTCCTCTGTGTATTTTGGTCTGCCCACCTGATCTTGAAATAGTTCTAGTTCCTCCCCCCCCCTCAACTTCACTGTCTATTTGCTTAGTTTAGCAATTCCTCCTGTCTGCTTCTATCTGTAAATATTCTCTGCATTCTTGCTACTTCTTCTTGGCCAGCTGTTTTCACAGCTGCTCAGGGTGGAAAGCTTTTAATGAAGCAAAAGTAACAGACAGGGGGGAGAAAATGATAAAATGTTAAATTGTCAGTCATTTTTACTTTTCTGATTATTTTTGTAATTATTTTGCTTTTATTCTTAGAGATGTAGATCGTTTCATACTCCATGTATGTATTTTTCTCAAATGCTGCTATCACTGCTGGAGGCCCATTGGTCAAAACATATTTGACTTAAGTTTGTACTGAATATTAATAGATCTTAGCTTTGTTAAACGTTAGATTTGAAAAGGCTTGTGTTAAAGTAGGGTCAAATTGCAACTTGTATTCTGCAGTTCATGTTGAATTTTTTTTTGCAACCAGTTTGTTATATCTTTATATTCAGTTGGTATTTGGTAGGTAGCGTTTTTCCTCCTCAATTCCTGTTTCTTTCTCTGTTTTGGGTTGGTTGAGTACCCCCTCCTCCCTACTTTTTGTTTACTTTGGAAAGTTTAAGTACTCCTCCTCCCACTTCACAGCAACACTGTTTGAATTATTTTCCTGTCTTAAGTTACCTCCTACCCCACTTTCTCTCACCTTGGGTTTAAGGGACAGCTACTTTAAAATACAGCTGGCTCTCACTGCAATACCACCTCCTCCTTCTAATTCTGCAAAGACTGGCACCTCCTTCAGACAAATTACCTGTTTCCTTCTGAACCTAACCAGCTTCTTCTAAGAACTGTATTAGCCTAGCATCCTATCTCTAACAGTGGCCAGCCCAGTGGGTCAGGGAATCTCACAAGTTGACTGGAAGAGAATAACCACACTCCATTTCTTACACTCAGCATCTGGCAGCCAGAGGTATGCTGAATACCAAGATCCCATTTAATTACAGCAGCTACAAATCAATGAGAGATATGTGTGCTCCATCAGCTTGTTCAGCTCTTTTCAAAACTATTTATATGTCTTAAGGGAAGGGGGAAGTCACAATTAAAGCACTGCCCCCTTCTTTCTCTGCATGTCTTACCTACATGTATTGATCAGAATATCTGCATAGGTGTTGCCTGCATGGGGGTGGTGGTTCACATGCATAGAGCCCCTAGGTGAACATTCCAACTTGTACGTGGAAGGTGGGCAAAGGCAAGGCCTGCCACTGACATAACCCTTCCCCATCATGCCTATACAAAAAGGAATAAGCTACATTGCCCCCACTGTAGATGCAGCAGGTGAAAGGCAGACTGAGATTAGGGTTGCTAACAGTCCTGGAGAAATATGTCCTGTCCCTTTAAAACAGGTTTTATGGGTTGTTTACAAGGGCTCCATGTTTACCTCCATGCCACAAATAAGTTTAAAGAAGCTCATTTCTACACAATAAGGCAGGTTCCGGTCAGAAAAGTGAACTAAAAAGAAATATAATAGGGACAGGACATTTCCCCCCAGAATGGTTGACAACTGTAACTGAAGACCAATGGCTTTGCTGAACCACACAGGGCCAGCTGATTCCTGGGATTCTTGTAGCCAGTTGTGTACTGGGCGAATCATCATCTGATCCAGCATGGCCTGTCATATGCCTTTGAGACAGAGCTTTTCCTCGGATCACGTCACAGCTAAGGCATTGATCTATGTATTCTTTCTTTGCAAAAGCACAGACACATCAGATGCTTTCTCCTGCATCTCAGAATGACTAAAACTGTATATAGTGTGGACGTGGCTGCAGAATAGATTTATAATCATGCAGTAGTTTTTATTATTCAATACATGTTAGTTCCTTTTCGAAACTAACTTCCCAAAATGACACATATCCATCCATTTTGAATAATATTTTTTAGATATTGATACTCCTCACTAGGGATCTGAAGTCACTTGCAGTATTGCTTCCACCAATGTATCCTAACAACCACCCTGTGAGGTAGGTTATGCTGCAAGAGTGACTGGCCCAAGGTCACCCAGTACACTTCTAGGGCAGGGTGGGGATTCAGAGCTGGGTGTTTGGATCCAGACTAAATTTTCCACTAACAGAAGGCATTTCTGGAGGAGCACAGCAGGAAGGGGCCTCCCTGACTGCTGCTTCAGTCCACCGATCTTCCTGAAATGCTGCTTGTGGGAGAGAGGGAGGACCCTCAGGCACAGCATGAGAGGCAAACTGGAGGTCTGCAGCAGGAAGGGGAAATGGCAGAAATTACACCTCCCCTTCCATTAGTGGAAAACTTAGTCTGGATCCAACCTGTACTCTCCCAGAGTATATTACCGCTATTAATAGTCTTCTGTGGAATAGCTGTTACTTTAGCCCTTTTCCTAACCATCCCTAACAGTGAATTAGTCTTTTCACTGCTGCAGCATAACCAACAGACAAATCTGGCAAGTTTTCTCTAAGGCTTATTTCCTGCTTTCATTGGGACACATCATGTTAACCGCATGATCTTTTTTTTTAATTTGAAGCAGCTGCTCAGGAGCAATCTCCAGTGGGTGTTTGGAGGGGGGAGGGGAATTCTAGATTTTTCTTTCCAACCAGGTTTCCATCTCTAACTGATCCCATCCTAAAACTGATTTTGGCCCTGCAAGAACAAAACCAGTACTAAGATCTCTAACCCTGTGGACCCCAAAGTAACCGGTGCAGGGGCCCTTTTGAAGATGGAAAGCTGGAAGAAAAGGAAGAGCAGGACCTTTCTCTGAACAAGAGACTGCAGTCTGTAGCTTGAGCCTGATTTAGAGGGGAAAGTAATGGGAACAATCACTGCAGGCTGGCCATTAAAACCAGCAGAGGCTCAAAAACTGAATGAATCTAAAATACCAAGAAGCACCATTATGATTGGCTTCTAGTAAGGAGCAATTCCAGCTGTATGCTTCCTAAGGTAGGGTGTTCATTCAATTTGACTACAGTTTCCCTGATCAGTTCCTAAAAGGACCTGCTAGTCCAAAGCCAGTCTGATGGCTAATGAATGGTGTAGTCTCTAGGGATTATTTGACTTCTGAGAACCCTGTTCTGGGTAATGCAGTTGCACAATTATCATATCAGTCTACATGAACTCTTCTTCAGCGACTTCACAACTGGCTGAGATCTTTTTAGTCAAAGCACATGAAGCTGGAAAAAGCCAGCCACTACTGTTCTTTCTATGGAATGCTGTTCTTCAGACACAAACTATCCTGGTAGGTAAGAGAAAGGGTTGCTGGAAGCATTTTCCTCCTCTTGGGAGCTGCACACCAATAACTAGAGCAGAAAGTACCACCAAGATCCTTCCATGGTCTCCTTGTCACAGATAGTGGGTGGAAGCACTCAGAAGAACCTACTGGACAGAAATGAAAACAGGGACATTAACTGGTTTAAAAACAACTTAGAAACTGATAAATCAGGCCCGGATGGAATACTGTGTGCAATTCTGGTCACCACACCTCAGAAAGGATATTATAGTATTGGAAAAAGTGCAGATAGGGGCAACTAGAATGGTAAAAGGGTTGGAACACTTTCCCTATGAAGAAAGGTTAAAATGATTGGGGTTCTTTAGCTTGGAGAAACAACGAGTGAGGGGTGACATGGTCGAGGTTTACAAGATTACGCATGAGATAGAGTAGGTAGAGAAAGAAGTACTTTTCTGTGGCAGGTTTGGCAACTAGTTCCCTTCCTTTCATGCCTTGACT